CTCTGTCTTATAAATGGAATATTTCTCCAAATAATAGTGGTTGACTTAAAGTTTTAGAACAGTCCATGCATACCCTACATTTTTAAACAAAATTTGGAATGTACATAGTTTCTGTGAAACTCAGGTTAATAACTCTTGGTATAATGTTTTCTAATGTGGTTTCTGGATAAATTACATTTTCATATTTTTAAACATAAACTTTAAACTGCTTGTTTGGACACTTCAATGTGAACAAAATTTACCAGTGGTGAAACAAATATAATGAAGTAAAACAAGTTTGGCATAAATAGAATGTGCAAATTCATTATTCTTTTTTAAGAGTTGAGCTTGCTATGAAGAAACCTGTTTTCAATTATTTTTATTGAATTACATGTTAGGCAATGCTAAGAACCTAAGCTTATTGCTTATTTTATCTATTCCATTTAATCCTGACAGTTATATTATTATTAGCACTCAAATTGTAGAGATATAACGAATTGGGGGTGAAAGAAAATCAATAATTTGCCCGTGGTCACACAGCTGGTAGAATGCATAGTTGTGGTTAATCAATCATCCTTAATCAGTTCTGTGAATTTGTGTCCTTATATGTAGGGATACCTCATTTTATTGTGTTTTGCTTTATTGTGCTTCACAAATTGAATGTTTGTGGCAATGCTGCATTGAGCAAGTCCATCGGTGCTGTTTTTACCCACAGCATGTGCTCACTTCATAACTCTGAGTCACATTTTGGTAACTGTCACAATATTTCAATTTTTTTCATTATGGTATCTGTTACGGTGATCTGTGATCAGTGATCTTGGATGGATCTACTGTAATTGTTTTGGGGTGCCACAAACTGCTGCAATATAAGAATGCAAGCTTAACTGATAAATGTTGGGTGTTCTGAATACTCTTCTGCCTGGCTGCTTTCCCATCTCTCTCCCTCTCTTTGGGCCTCCCTATTCCCCAAAATACAATATTGAAAGTGGGCTAAGTAATAACCTATAATTGTCTCTAAGTGTTCACATAAAAGGAAGAGTCACATGTCTCTCACTGCAAATCAAAGCCTAGAAATAATAAAGCATAGTAAGGAAGACGTCAAAAGCCAAGACACGCCGAAAGCCAGGCCTCTTGTGCCCAATAGTTAGCCAAATTATGAATGCAAAGGAAAAGTTCTTGAAGCAAATTAAAAGTGCTACTCCAGTGAATACACAAGTGATAAGAAAGAAAAACAGCCTTGTTGCTGATACAGACCAAATTTTAGTGCTCTGGATAGATCAAACCAGCCACAACATTTCTTTAAGCCAAAGCTGAATCCATAGAAAGGCCCTAACTCTCTTCAGTTCTATGAAGGCTGAGAGAGGTGAGGAAGCTGCAGAAGAAAAGTTTGATACTAGCAGAGCCAGTTGATTCATGAGGTTTAAGGAAAGAAGCTGTCTACATAACACAGAAGTGCAAAGTGAAGTAGCAAGTACTGATGGAGAAGCTGCAGCAAGTTATCTAGAAACTCTAGCTAAGGTCATTGATGAAGGTGGCTATGCTAAACAACAGATTTTCAGTGTAGATAAAACAACCTTCTATTGGAAGAAGATGCCACCTAGAATTTTCATAACTAGAGAAAAAAGTCAGTGTCCAACTTCAAAACTTCACAGGACCCACTGATTCTCTTGTTAGAGACTAATGCAGTTGGTGACTTTAGGTTCAAGTCAATGTTCATTAACCATTCAAATAATTCCAGGGCTCTTAAGAATTATGCTAAATCTACTCTGCCTGTGCTCTATAAATTAAACAACAAAGCCTAGAGGACAGCACATCTGTTTGCAGCATACTTCCCTATTACAAGCTTGCTGTTGAGATGTACTGCTCAGAAAAAAATACTCCTCTTGAAAAATTACTTCTCACTTACAGTATACCTAGACATACACGAGCTGTGATGAAGGTATGCAAGGAGATTCATGCTGTTTTTATGCTTGTTAACATAGCATTCCTTCTGTAGTCCATGAATCAACTCTTCTAATTTGCAAAGTCCATTGACTTTCAAGTCTACTTAAAAAATATATTTTGTAAAGTTATATCTGCCATAGATAGTGAATCCTCTGACAGACCTGGTCAAAGTAAATCGAAAACCAATTTACTTTGTCAAGTCAAGTCAATCAATGTGGTAATACCCACTGCTGACTTACTTTAATAAATTGCCACAGACATCCCAACCTTCAGCCATAATAAAAGGTCATGCCTGGATGTTGATGGTTGCTGACTGGTCACCATGACTCTGACTAGTCAGCAACCACCAACACACAGGCAAGACCCTTCACTATTAAAAGGAGGCCAGGATGATGGTTTATGCCTGTAATCCTAGCATTTTGGGAGGCAACGGTAGGCAGATCGCTTGAGCCTAGGGGTTTAAGACCAGCCTGGGCGACATGGCAAAACCCTGTCTCTACAAAAAATATAAAAATTAGCCTGGTGTGATGATGCATACCTGTATTCCCAGCTACTTGGGAGGCTGAGGTGGGAGAATCACTTGAGCCCAGGAAGTTGAGGCAGCAGTGAGCCAAGAATGTACCACTGCACTCCAGCATGGAAGAGAGAATGAGACCTTGTCCCTCCAAGTCCTGAAAGAACCTCCCTTTTTCTTAGCAAACTATTTTAAAATTAAGGTATATGCATTGTTTTTTAAAGACATAATGCAATTACATACTGAATAGGTTAAAGTATAGTGCAAAGATAACTTGCACATGTACTGGGAAAAAAATGTATGGCTTGCGTTATTGTGATAGTCTGGAACCATACTTAACAATATCTCTGAGGTATGCCTGTAGCATTCTTATAAATCATACTTATGTTCAACTGTCTTTCTAACCTCTAAAAGTTTTTACCAGTATAACTTTCCCTAAAAACATGGAAAATAAAAATGAAATAGCATTTTGGATTAGTATGATAAATATCTGTGGCTTATTAATTACGTGGTCACAAATAAAATAAAATTAATAAAGAACAAAGAGCTTGATTCTTAATAAAGCTATCTTCCACCAGTATATTCTACTGGTTAAAGAAAGCTGCAGCTCAAAATAAGATATATGTGGATGAGTTAGAAAAGTATATGTAAGAAAAAGAAATTTGATAGTATAGTCAGTCTTCTCTATCTACAGGTTTTGTATCTAAAAATTCAAGCAATCTTGGACCAAATATATTCAGATAAAAGACCTTAAAAATAACATGACAACAATAAAAAATAATCAGAGTAAAAAAATAAAGTATAACAACTATTTACGTATTAGGTAGCATAAGTAATATCAAGATGATTTAAAGTATAAGGAGTATATACGTGAGTTATGTGCAAATACTGCAACATTTCATATAAGGGACTTGAACATCCCTGGATTTTGGTATTCATAAGGGGTTCTGGAATCAATCCCCTGCAGATACCTAGGGACAAAAGTAGGCTGCTTATGAGGAAGCATGGTTTATGGGAATATTTCTACTAATTAAACAATGGTCAATTTTTAGTAGTTTTTAAAAATACTTAAGTGGATTATACCAAACTAAGACAATATTTAAATAATATTTAAAATGCAATTCTAGGAAAGTAAGTTTTAGAAACAGTTAATAAAAGTGCACACAGGGTTATAAGAAAGAATTTTCTGCTTCTGAGGGCTGTTATACTAAATTGACTTGCTGAAGGAAGCAGTGGAATCTGTTTCTTTGAAGATTCTTACAAACAGAAGGCATACATTATCAGCAGTTCAGAAAGGTTTAGGTGCATCTCTGCCAGAAAACAGCCAGTGGATATAACCACTTCATGGTTCCATAAACTCTGGTGACTGCATAATAATACTATTGTTATAATTGTGAGGCAAGGGCAACACAGCTGCTTTTTCTTTGGCGATCAGGATTTGCTGTCCAAAAAGTTGCAGAATAAATTGAATGTAATTAGATGAAATTTTCCCCAACGGAAAAGCAAGAATTAATTTTGACTCTAGTTACTGAAAGAAAACTCAGAATCTCTACACTGGGCTTTTTAAACATTTATCATCTCCTTTATTTATAGAAAGCATTCCTCTTATGTGAAATTTAAAAAGCAGACACGTTTTTATGGATGACCTTAGGCCAATAAGTTGAATTAACACTAAATAAAAAATTCTAAGCATATATATATAGTTTCCTCACATAAAATCCCCTAAAGGTGACATTTTAGTGAATTCAACTTAAATTTTTAAAAGTTTATATTTTCATTTAACTTTATTTTCATCTACTTAGGTCTTTACTTTTCATGAATGTAGAAAAGAAGGCAGATTCCTTAAACACTTAAAATATATGGTCAACTTCTTTCCAAGTGAGCTTTTCTTTTAAAGGTAATATAAGTAATTTGAAATTTGAAGGTGGCATTGTGGTCCACAATCCTTGCCCAACTGCTCTTTCAGGAGCAATAGGAGTTGTCATAGAATTAACTAAAAGTTCAAGCAAATGTTTTGATGCAGAATTCTCACAAAATATAAAGCTGTAAGAGTTGTAAAAGGATGGCTTCCCAAGATTTTGGAGAACTTTAGATTAGTTGTTAAAGAAAAGAAAGGAAAAATGCTGGAATACCTTTAACTACATAAAATTCATAAATAGTAGGACTAACTCTAAAATAAATAGAAAATAATTCTAATTTCCAATTTTATTTAGTATTTACAGTTATATAGGTATCCAAGACAGATATAAAAAAGCCCTGTTTTCAAGTATAGGTACTTAATTTCTGTTATTTAAGTCCTTGTTCTGTATTTAGGGATTTAAGATAGCTTTATTCTATCTGTTATGTTACTCTAGAGGTAAGGGCAAATGCATCTTAAGGTAATTTCTGACATGCAATAGTGTTAAAAGAGAAAGAGAAAAGAAAAGAAAGAGCTATGCACATAAAAATTTCGATGGTAAATAATACTTCCCATTTTCAATTAAAACCCAATATAATTCTATTTGTTTCTACATAATTAATAACAGAAAACTCATAGTAGAAATATTTCATTGCTTGCCTCCAAAAAATTGTTGACATCCTCTGTTGCCATCTGTCATGGTGGTCATTCCTCTGTGTTTGATGGAACTAGAGAAGTATTAGGGCTCTATGGATTGATGAAGAAAAATAGTCTGTGCTCTTGATTTCTGGTATTTATCTCCTTGGTCCTGTTAAAAAGGATACCAGGGTGAATTTACCAATTTTGAACGCATCCAGTTATTCTATATTCTTTTACATTCATATTAAGGAAGTTCTGAAATTTTTATGCAGTCTCATTTAGAATCACAGAATTTTAGAATCTAACAGAAAGGACTTGCTAACTTTAAGACCGAAGATTCAAAAAGAGCTCTATCAATCAGGTAATTCAATCTACTTTACAGTACAGAAAACCAAAATCAAAAGAGGTTAAATAAACAATGTTACAGTTAGTTAGGGGCAGAGCTGCCATGGGAAAACAGTTTTTTTTACCCCAAGTTTGGGAGCTCTTTCCCCTAGAAGGGGCTCTTTCTCTCTCTGAGAAAAAAGAGGATAGACAGGCAAGAATACTATAATGATCAAGCTGATTTCTTAGCCCTAATACATAAAGAAAAATCTAGAACAAAAACAGAAAAGCATGAGAACATAATATTTAGATTATTTATTCATAGCACATCATTTGCTCAACAGATACCTAAAAGATATTATTTTGTTAAAATATAATTAGGACATTATTTTATTAAAAAGTATACAGTATTGGCAACATAGTGAGACTATGTCTCTACAAGAAAAAAAAGTCAGACATGGTGTTGTATGCCTGTAGTCCAGCTACTCAGCAGGCTCAACCTGGAGGATCACTTGAGCCCAGGAGGTCAAGGCTGCAATGCACTACAATCATGGCATTGCACTCCAACTAGGTAACAGCAAGACCCTTTCTTGAAGAAAAAAAAAAAAGTATCTTTATGACCATACATCATTAAATTTCTGAGTTTCACCCATTGTCATGATCACTTATCTTTTCCAATCCTCACCACCGTAACCGTGTACTATCCACATAACAAAAGAGTCATTTTTAAAAATTATCTGCAGAGCAACAGAATGACATTTTAAAAAATAAAAATGAATTTAAGACTCCCTTGTTCAAAATCCCCCAAAGACCTTCCACAACATCTAAGGTGAGGACTTGGATCCTGGTTACCCTTTCTGAAAGACTATCTGATCACTCTTTCTCTTGTGTGGTATTCTATAGCCTTAGTGGCCTTCATGTTCTACTTTAAACATGCTAAACACACTCCTGATTTAAGTCTGACCTTGGTCTTCTCCCAGATTGGAATGTCTCTTTAGATAATCACATGACTGTTCCCACTGACTAAAACACTCTTTTTCCTTGAGCACTCCTGGAATGTTTCTGGAATATACTCAAATATCACTTTCCAAAGAGGTTTCTCTCACCATTCTAGCTAAAAAACCTCTCCCTCCAACTTTTACCCCCTTTACCATTGGCCCTCATTCTCTAAATACATACCTGCTTCATTTCCATTCACGGTATTTATGATTCCCAGATACTATGCAGCCCCACAATCCCTGTGAAGCCAGATGTCTTTTGGAATTAAGCAGTTTTGGTATTTTTAAGGTAATAAAGTACATGTCCTATAATTATGCAACATTTCCTTACCCTCTCCCCTGTTGTCCAAGAGGTCTGGGAAAGCACCCTGAAGTCAAATATGTTAATAGCCTTGCAGAAAAATATATGTTCATTATAAGTGAGATTTTTTTAAAAGACTATAACTAGGGGTAGAGCAAGACGGCAGAATAGAAATCTCCACTGATTGTCCCCCCAAGCAAGGACACCAATTCAACAACTATCTACACACACAGAAAAGCACCTTCATAAGACCCAAAAATCAGGTAAGCACCACAGTACCTGGCTTTAACTTCATATCATTAAATGAGGTACTAAACAGGTAGGAAAAACAGTCTTAAATAGCTCATGCCACCTCTCCCACAGCAGCAGAGGCATGGTGTGGAGGGTGTTTGGGTGCTGAAGAGAGGGAGATTGTAGCATTTATGAGGCACTGAGCTCAGTGCTTCCCTATTATAACAGAAAACAAATGTAGACCAAACGCAGCTGATGTCCACCCACAAAGAGAGCGTTTTAACCAGGCCTGCTGAGCCAGAAGGGAATTGCCAATCCCAGTGGTTCAAACATCAGTTCCTGCAAATCTCACCAGTGCCGGCTAAAGTGCTCTGGGACCCAAAATAAACCGGAAGGGCAGGCTAGGCCACAAGGACCACAATTTCAAGGCAAGTGCTAGTGTTGAACTTGGGCCAGAAACAGTGGATTGGGGGGGGGGGGCATGCGACTTACTGAGACACCGCCAGTCAAGGTAAGGAAAGGAGTGCTGGTATCACTTCCTGCTAACATCAGGCTGTACAGCTGGTGGATCCAAAAGCCCATTCACTCCACTTGAGGAGAGAAGGAAGAGTAAAGAGGACTCTGTCTGGCAACTTGAATACCAGCTCAGCCACAACATGGTAGGGCACCAGTCAGAGTTATGAAGCCCCCTTTCCAGACCCTGCCACTGAATCACATTTCTAGTTACACCCTGGCCAGAAGGCAACCTGCAGCCTTGAAGAGAAAAACCCAGTGCTAGCATTCATCACCTGTTAACTGAAGAGACCTTGGACCCTCAATAACCAGCAGTGATACCCAGGTACTACACTGAGGGCCTTGAGTGAGACTCTGAGACTTGCTGGCTTCAGGTGAAACTAAGCACATTCCTAGCTCTGGCGGGTACAGGGTGAGACTCCTTTTACTTGAGAAAATCAAAGGGAAAAGCAAAGAGAACTTTGTCTTGCACCTTAGGTACCAGCTCAGTCACAAGGGTTAGAGCACCAAGCAGGTTCTTGGGGTCTCAGGTTCCAGGACTTGGCTATTGAATGATATTTCTGGACTTGCCTTGGGTCAGAGGAGAGCCCACTCCCCTAAAGTGTGAGTCTCAGGCCAGGCAGCATTAAACACAAGCTGACTGAAGAACCCCTGGGCCTTAAGGGAACATCAGCGGTACAGTACTCCCCATGGAGATGTGGTGGTGGTAGCCACAGGGTGAGGCTCCTCTTCCTTTAAAAAGGTAAGGCAAGAGTGTGGAGCACTAAATCTTGTAAGTTCAGTGCCAGCTCAGTTGCAGTACGATAGAACACCAGGTAGACCTCTAAGATTTTTTACTCTAGTCCCTGGCTCCTGGATGGCACCTCTGGACACGCCCAGGGTCTAGGGGAACCTGCCACTCTGAAGAAAAGGATACAGACATGGCTGGCTTTGTCATCTGCTGATTGCAGAGCCCCAAAGACTTGAGTAAACATAGGCTGAAGCTACAGCAAGCCTCAGGTGAGACCCAGTATTATGCTGGCTTCAGGTTTGGCCCAATACAGTCCTAGTAGTGATGGTCACAGAGGTGCTTATGTCACAATATTCCCAGCTCCAGATGGCCAAGAATATAGAGAGACACAGAGAGAGGGATAAGGGCAGATAGATTCCATTCATTTGGAGAATGTGAAGAAAGAAGGCAAGAGTCTATGCTTAGTAATCCAGAGAATCCTTCTGGATCTTGTTCAGGGCCATCAAAGCAGTACCATTATGAGTCTGCAAAAACTATAGCATTATCAGGCTTGGGGTGCCCCTAAAGTAGATATAGCTTAGATCACAACATTTAGATTACAACAATAAAGTCCTTTTGAATATCTGGAAAGCCTTCCCAAGAAGGAAAGCTACAAATAAGTCTAGACGGTGAAGACTACAATAAATACCTTACCCTTAAATGCCCAGACATCAAAGAACATCTACTGGCATCAACATCATCCAGGAAAACATTACCTCACCAAATGAAATAAATAAGGCACCAAGGACCAATCCTGGAGAAACAGAGATATGTGACTTTTTAGACAGAAAATTCAAAATAGCTACATTGATGAAAGTCAAAGAAATTCAAGACAACAGAGAGAAGTAATTCAGAATTCTATCCAATTAATTTAACAAAGAAATGGAAAGAATTAAAAAGAATCAATCAGAAACTCTGGAGCTGAAAATGCAATTGCTATACTGAAAAATGCATCAAAGTCCTTTAATAGAAGACTTGATCAAGTGGAATAGAGAATTAGTGAGCTTGAAGATAGGCCATTTGAAACACACAGAAAAGACGATGATGAAGCAGCAGCAGCAGCAGCAGCAGCAGGAGGAGGAGGAGGAGGAGGAGAAAAACAATGAAGCGAAAAAGGCTAGAAAATAGCCTCAAAAGGGAACATGTAAGAGTTATTGACCTTAAAGAAAAGGCAGAGGGAGATATAGGGGCAGAAAGTTTACTCAAATAAATAATAACAGAGAACTTCTGAAACCTATAAAAGATATCAATATCCAAGTACAAGAAGCTTATAGAACACCATGCAGAATTAACTGGAAGACTACGCCAAGCATTTAATAATCAAACTCCCAAAGGTCAAGGATAAGGAAAGGATCCTAAGCAGCAAGAAAAAAAGAAATAATATACAATGGAGCTCCAATACGTCTGACAGCAAAATTTTCAGTGCAAACCTCACAGGCCAGGAGAGAATGGCATGACATATTTAAAGTGCTGAAGGAAAAAATCTTTTACACTAGAATTGTATATTTGGTGAAAATATCCTTCAAACATGAATAAGAAATATAGGCTTTCCAAGACAAACAAAAATTGAGGGATTTTATCAACACCAGACTTTTCTGCAAGAAATGCTAAAGAGTACTTAGATCAGAAAGAAAAGGACATTAATAAGCAATAAATCATCTGAAAGTGCAAAACTCATCGACAATAGCAAGTACTTTGGAAAACATAGAATATTATAACACTGTAACTGTGGTATGTAGACTACTCCTATCTTAAATAGAAAGACTAAACAATGAACCAATAAAAAATAACCATAACAAGTTTTAAAGACAAAGACAATATAATAAAATACACACTGGGGTCTGTTGGGGCCTAGGGGGCTACGAGAGGGATAGTAGGGGGTGGGAGGATTGGGGAGGAATAACATTGGGAGAAATACCTAACATAGGTGATGGAGGGAATGGATGCAGCAAACCACCATGGCATGCGTATACCTATGTAACAATCCTGCATGATATGTACATGTATGCCAGAACTTTAGAAAAAAAAAAAAA